AATTTTTTTTTAAATTTGAGTTATTTCATTCCTATCTTTTATGAGTTTTTGGTTTCTGTCCTATTAAAAATTGTTTAAAATGAAAATGAATGTTGATTATGATTTTTTTCAGGATACTTCTAGTGTTACTGGCTCCCATAAAACAGAACAGCGGAATGCTGATCTCACTGGAGATGAAACTTCACGACTTTTTGTAAAGAAAACGATAGTTGTGGGCAATGTGTCCAAGTGAGTATCCAGTTGAATTTATTTTGTCATCCATTTATGTTAATACTTAATACTATAGTATTATAGTAGGAAGAGGCCTCAGGAATTCTTTTCCCCAAGCTCTTAGTTGTTTCAAAAGTAAATCAAAGTCCAGAGTCTTTCTTAGAGTAATCTTGCTCACTTGTAAGCACAGAGTTTGAATCTAGGTCTCCTGTTCTTCATGTGGGTATTATTTCCTCTGTACTGCTTCTCTATACAGTGCCATTCTGCCTTGCCTTTCACAGTATCCACAAATGATAAATACGGGGAAGAGAATTTTTTTCTCAAAATATATCACTAGAGAAGAGGCAGTATAGGAACCTCTTACACTTTCATGTGTAGTTTGTAAAAGATGCTAAGTATTTGGAAACCAATGAGAATGGTAAATTCTCAGGCACTGTTCTCAACTCTAACTTTCATATCTTCATTTTTTCCTCCACATTTCCATTCTTGCATCTGCCATTTATTTGTGATTGGCACTTCCAAAGCTGAAACCAGATTTTTCTTCCCAGGAACCCATTTACTATTCTTTGTCTTCTTTCTTTTTTTTTTTTTGAGATGGAAGGACTTAAGTATGATGAGTTTCTTTGACTTTTGTTTCTTTTTCAAAACCTTACTTTAGTGACTCTAATGCAAGCCAGAGAGGTTTGCATCTAGCAAGTCATTGGGACATGAGAACAAATAGATAAAGTTTCATTTTCAGTCATCCATTTATGTTAATATTTTGGCATAAATACTCTTACTATCTTAGTATTATAATAGGAAAAAACCTCATGAGTGCTTTTCTCAAGCTCTTAGTTGTTTCAAAAGTAAACGAAGGTCCGGAGACTTGAGACTCTACTTTATAGTGTGTCAGTCTTCGACTCAGAATAAAATAGTACTTAGTAAAAATTTCTAAGATGTGAGCTCTTACATAAATGTATTTCACCAAGCACGTTAATGTGTATAAGTTAGGAAAAACTTTTGTTTATTTCTGACCTAGTTCTATCCTTAGGGGCCTTAGCTAATTCCTATAGATCTTCTCATAGCATAATGATATTATGTATGTTGTGTAAATATTTGTCCCAGATGTAAATATGTGAAAGGGATTAAATTATCTTGCTGGAGAAAAATTGATTACATTGGCCAAGATTTTAGACTATGGCAGTTTTAATTAATTTTTTCATGAAGTTTTATTTGCTGAACCTTATTAGTTATAGTTCCTTTCTACTCTCTTTTGTCATTTTTTATCATATTATCATTTCCTATTTTCATATATTTTTTGCAAATCAGATTGTAATCTCTTTGGGGTAAAAACTATGTCTTTTCTGTTTTTGTACCTTATTATAGTACTGGGTTAGTAAATATTTGATTCATGAATGAATTGATACATTTGTGAAAGGAAAAATATAAACATATACAAACCTGGTGAAATTAGAGAAAAAAGACACAAATAATATTGGAAATGAAAAAAGAAGATATAATTACAGATGCTGCACTATGAAAGAGATAAGAAACTGTTAACATTGTTATGCCAATACATTTGAAAATTTAGATGAAATGATTGTTTATGCCCAATCTTCTTGTGGCCTGGTGGAAATTCTTCCTGAATTTTCAGGCTTGGCCTTTTCTGGGCTGACCTGTCTTGTAAAGATGTCACTTCTCTCCACATTGATCTGGAAATATTTCTATTAAAATCCCAACAGGGTTCATGAAATTTACAGGCTGGTTCTTACATATGGAGAGTAAAGGGCTGAGATTGAACAAGAACACTCCTGAAGAGCTAGGTTGGGCAACTTGGCCCCCCTGCATTACTAAGGATTAATCATAGGCTAAAATAAACATGTAGGAGGACATGACCATATTTTCCACCAGAATCTAAGAAAGGGGCCTCATACTGAAATAAAGACAGGTCCCATAAAGGGGAGGGCTAACGATGCTAGTTTTACCATGGTCAAGACTTAAGGAAAAGCAACAAAGAAAATAAAGTACCTAGTACTAAGGAGGTAAAAGACTCTACAGGGAGAACTATGAGACACTGAGGAAGGAAATAGCAGAAGATGTAAACAGGTGGAAAACCATACCATGCTCGTGGATTGGCAGAATCAACATTGTTAAAATGACTATACTACCCAAAGTGATCTACAGATTCAATGCAATTCCTATTAAAAGACCAGCATCATTCTTCACAGATGTAGAAAAATTAATTTTACGCTTCATATGGAACCAGAGAAGACCCCGCATAGCAAAAACAATTCTAGGTAATAGAAACAAAATGGGAGGCATCAATCTACCAGACTTCAAACTCTATTGCAAAGCTGTAATATTAAAATCAGCTTGGTACTGGCACAAAAACAGAGCCATTGACCAGTGGAACAGAACTGAGAACCCAGACATAAAACCATCCTCATATAGCCATCTAATCTTTGACAAAGCAAACAAAAACATACACTGGGGAAAAGAATCTTTATTCAATAAATGGTGCTGGGAAAACTGGATAGCCACATGTAGAAGACTGAATCTGGATCCACACCTCTCACCCCTCACAAAAGTCAACTCACGCTGGGTCACAGATCTAAACCTAAGGAGTGAAACTATTAGAATTCTAGAGGAAGAAGTTGGAAATACTCTTCTAGACATTGGCCTAGGCAAAGAATTTGTGAAGAAGACCCCAAAGGCAATCACAGCAACAACCAAAATAAATAAATGGGACCTGATCAAATTAAAAAACTTCTGCACGGCCAAAGAAACTGTCACAAGAGCAAACAGGCAACCCACAGAATGGGAGAAAATTTTCGCGTGCTACAAATCCGACAGAGGGCTGATAACCAGAATCTATTTAGAACTCAGAAAAATCAGCAAGAAAAAATCAAACAGCCCTATCAAAAAGTGGGCAAAGGATATGAACAGAAACTTTGCAAAAGAAGACAGAATAATGGCCAAAAAACATATGAAAAAATGCTCAACATATCTAATCATCAGGGAAATGCAAATCAAAACCACAATGAGATATCACCTATCTCCAGTGAGACTGGCCTTTATCAAAAAGACCCAAAACGATAAATGTTGGCATGGATGCGGAGAGGTAGGAACACTCATACACTGCTGGTGGGACTGCAAATTAGTGCAACCTCTGTGGAAAGCAATATGGAGATACCTTAAAGAGATACAAGTAGAACTAACCATTTGACCCAGCAATCCCATTACTGGGCATCTACCCAAAAGAGCAAAAGTCGCTCTATGAAAAAGACACCTGCACTCGAATGTTCATAGCAGCACAATTCACAATTGCAAAGATGTGGAAACAACCCAAGTGTCCATCAATACATGAGTGGATTAGTAAACTGTGGTATATGTATACCATGGAGTACTATTCAGCTTTAAGAAACAATGGTGATATAGCACCTCCTATATACTCTTGGAAAGTGCTGGAACACATTCTACTAAGCGAGGTATCCCAAGAATGGAAAAACAAGCACCACATATACTCACCGTCAAACTGGTATTAGCTGATCAACATTTAAGTGCACATGTAGGAATAACATGTATTAGATGTTGGGCAGGGGGAGCGGGGAGGAGGGGACGGGCATATGCACAAACAATGAGTGAGATGCATACCTCCGGGGAAATGGACGCACTTGAGGCTTGGACTTGTGGGGGAGGGAGGGTAGGGGCATCATACATGATCTGATCATCTGTACCCCCATAACATGCTGAAATAAAAAAAAAAGGCGGGGGGAGACTTAAGGAAATGACTTGTTTTGGCTTTCAAAAGGCAGGAAACCAGGTACAGCCTTCTTGGCAGCAGTGAGAGGCACCAGAAGAGCCTAGAGTTCTCGCACCCTGAAACCTGAATGAAATCAATCCAAAGGCTAGAGGTTCCCTATCCCAGGAATAAAAATATGCCTGTTTATTTCCACCTTATATACCCACTTGGCAGGAGAAATAAGTTTGATTTTTTTTTTTAATTGCACACTGATAATCAGAAAACAAACTCTTAACAAAATGCTCTTTAGACCAAATAAATGTTTTAGAAAGAATGAAAAACAAAATGATTAGCTGCAAAGACGTTGTTTGGTTAGGTGATATAGCTGTTAAATATTGCTGGAATTTTAATCTTGTTTTAAGTAGGAGTTAATTGTTTTGTTAGGTTTTTGAAGGAAAAACTAATTCTGGTTTCTTTTTTTTTCTTCTCTAGGTATATACCTCCAGATAAGAGGGAAGAAAATGACCAGTCAACTCATAAGTGGATGGTATATGTCCGAGGGTCTCGTAGAGAACCCAGCATTAATCATTTTGTCAAGAAAGTTTGGTTCTTCCTTCATCCCAGCTATAAACCAAATGACCTTGTGGAAGTGAGGTAAGCACATTTGAGTTATTTAACCTAGGAAGTACAGATTTATTGAAGTGAAAGAAAAGTGATTTAACTTCACAACATTCCCTGGAAAATTTTATATTACTAATAATTTACCCAGCATTGACTCTTAGTCACAATGTAGTTTCAGCCATGGTTCCCTCTTGCAGATTACTGTCTCGATGAACATGTACCGTCCCCTCCGATCAGATTGTTACTACACTAATCGTATGAGCTGATTTTGCTTACCTCTGGAAATAGCTAACCTTGTTTATATAGATACAGATATACATAAAAATGTTACTGTTTTTTATAGTTATCAGAATATAACAGAAGATTCTAACATTATAGAAATATATAATGCTGAAAGTTCCCCATGCTCTCACCCTCTCATAAGTAACCCCTAGTGATATTTTTCCTTTACATATTCTAACCTGGTATAATCGTTGTTTTTGTTACTTCACAAAGATGGAAGGATGATATATTTATACTGTTGTGAAATTTGCTTATATCATTTAGGTGTATTCTTTACATCTATGTGATACTTTACATCATATACATGTTCATTGTATAAATGTACTATGGAAGTGGTTTTGGGTTGTTACCAGTGAAATCTCTGTCCTCTGTGCTGTTCAGAACATTCCCTTCCACCCCAGCTCTTAAAGAAAAATGGGTATCTCCTGAGAACTCTGCTGCTTCTGTAGCCCTTTCAAGTGGTGGCCGTTTTTACCATTGGGTCTAGGGGTGAGGTAGATGTCTTCCTTGATCATATTTATAGGTTCCTGTCCACTTTTCCCCTTTCTCCCTAAAAAACCTTAGGTCCTTTGAAGCCCCATGTGATCTCCTCCTCCTTTGTCACAGTTATCTGCTAATTTCCCAAATCACTTCCCTCTTTCAAAAACAGTCTTAGTACCTAGTTTACTGACGTTCTCTCTACTGGTATTTTTTTGTTGTTCTTAAGGATTTTGTGTGCATATAGGCAATTCATACAAAATCCTGGGCTCTTGGTTCATTGATTTTTTCACTTTAATGATTAGGTTATTGTGGTGATATGCCATGGAATCTATGCTGAGTTTACGGAGAGAAGTGAATTATATGAGAGCAGTGATGGATAGTGAAGATTTTTGTGGGCAAGAAATGGAAGTCTAAGTGAGGTTAGAAAATAGTTGGATTGGGAGTAGAGCTGGAAAGATAGAGGTTGGCGGTTACAAAGTGGAATGCTTGGAAATCGGATTTTTGTAGGTAGTACGGAATGTTTATATGAATAATAGTTATCCTAGTTATCAGTTGGTCTATTTTTTTCCCTACATCTAGTATACCCTAAATTCCCACGTAAACTTAGATCCTGTTCTGGACTGTTAATAACATTTATTCCTGTTACAGTAATATACTATTTTAGTTGATTTGCTTTATAACGTGTTCTGATATCTGACAGTATAGTCTCATCATCATTCTTCTGGATTTTTTTCTTAGCCATTCTTGAGTATATATGTTTTTCCAGATTACTTTAGAATCAAATTGTCAAATTACAGATTGAAATCGCACTGAATTAAGGGTTAATTTTCACATTTTTTTTCATTTTCAGCATTTGCACAGACAGCAGTTTTCACATTTTTTATGGTATTGCATCTTTCTATCTCCTGTCTGCCCGAGAATCAGTGTCGTAGTTCTGCAGTGCAAATGAGATTTTTTTTCTTTTATTACTACTTATAAAACTTTCTTCATTTTCTTGACATATTATACTGGATAGAACCTTAGAAAAGTGTTGATACCTGTTTTGTTTTGTTTTGTTTCAGTAGTAGAGCTTAATTGATAAAAGAGAAATTTTATTCTTAGGCTTTCAAACCCTAGTGTTGAAAAGACTTTGTCTCTGATTTAATTTAAATCTATACCTGATACATGAATCCCTTCAGAAATGCCCCATACAGCTAAGCTCAGGATCCATCCTCTCCTAGAAAACCACTAATGACCTAGACTTGAGTTTTTTTCCTGGAAGACCATTTTCCTCCCTGTTATCGGTCTTCTTCCTCCACTCATGCAAGCATGTACACACTGACACACAGTGTGGCCATCTTTGTGAAGATCTGCTCTTTATCCTTCAGGACATAGCTCAGAAGTTCCTCAGTGAATCCTTCCTTGTCCTTCTTTCTTCTGTGGGTTAAATTACAGTAAATGGTTGTTTACTTGAATGCCTGGGATTTTAATAATGTTTAACAATACCTTATAGAGTGACAATCTTTTCTGAGTTTAGATAGCCTAACTCCAAATGAGCACAGTGTTTTAATAAAGATATTTTTGTGAGTTTGGTGAGAAATAGACAAGTTTAAAAAATGCTGTGTCTATAAAAATGTAAGTAATAAAAATAATATATTTTTCAATGTCCAGATCAATAAGAAATTCCCTTACATGGTAAAAATTAAAATGTGTAGTCTTAGGAAAGAAAACATTTACTATAAATGTGAATCAGTTAAGATATATTAATCATATTTTTATTGATGATAGGTATGATTTACCCAAAAAATGAGATTAAAAACTCATTACATAAAACTCTTACTACTTAACAATACAAACTAATACCTGTTTTTTCCCTCCATTCTTATATCAAGAATTAGAATTTGTAAAACACACTGACTTCCTTTAAGTTGCAAAAAAAATACGCAGTAATATATATATAAGATTGTATTTCCTAAGAAATCCTTACTAATCTGCAGGTAAAGGTGTGGCAAATCATTTATCAGACTGTGTTATAATCCAAAGAAAGGATCATGCTGCATCTCCTTTTCAAATTTCTCTTTCATCTTGTACATCCGGAGTATTTTCTGCTCTTAGTAAATGAACTTCATTTCATGAAATTTGTGAGATTTTACATCATTGAAATAGCCTGTGGGCCAGGCACAGTGGCTTACTTATGCCTGTAATCCTAGCATTCTGGGAGGCTGAGGCAGGAGGATTGCTTGAGCTTAGGAGTTCAAGACCAGCCTGAGCAAGAGTGAGACCCCAGCTCTACTAAAAATAGAAAAATTAGCTGGGCATCATGGTGTGCACCTGTAGTCCTAGCTATTCGGGAGGCTGAGGCAGGAGTTTGAGGTTGCAGTGAGCTACGATATGAAGACACTGCACTCCACCCGGGGCAATTTAAGCATTATGAACAACAGTGTTAGGATTTTTAAGTGGTTATTTTAAAAGAGATTAGGACTTATATGCTTCTGGTGTTTAAAACTCCTGGAGAAATCATTTATTGTGATCACCCACACTTCTGTGTTTTTTTTATAGCAAATAATGTGTGTAAATCGATTATACTAATTTACATGTATGTCTCTCTTACTAGACTTAGAGCTTATTGATGTTTGGAACCTTGACTCACTTGTCTTACGAGGGTCTAGCATAGTCCCTAGCATGTAGTAAATGCTCATTTCATATTTGATGTTAAGTTATTGAATTCATGAGGTGGGCCCTTCTATTTGTAAGTGGCTTTGTTCATGTGGATGTTTGTAATTATGTTGAGTAGAGATCTATTATAACTTTCTCTAACTTGTAAACTTTCAGTACTTTCATATGCCTGTACCACCACACAGACAAAATCATTATAATCCCTTTTCCATGTAGCAGTTGTTCAGATATTTGAAAGCAGCTGTTGGGTTTCATCCACATTTGTTTCAGTTGTCACTTACGTGGCTTTGTTCTTTTGTCCTCCAGGTTATATTCCTTGACACGCTCCATTTATCTATATTCCTCTTAAGGTATTCTTTTTAGAACTGAACCTAAAACTCTAGACATGGTGTAACCAATATAAAGTAGGATAGAACTATTAACATATGTCTTAGATTTAATTATAACTCATTATGTTCTTTACAGGACTCCTAAGATGTTTTTTGTATCAGGTATCTAAAATGATTTGATGAAATATGGGAGGACTTTTGCACTGCCTTGAAACTTACGGTTTATCTTACTGTGAATCAAAGTACAAATGTGTTTCTGAAGCACCCTGAATCTCCTCATCACAGCATGTTTCCTGACAAAGAGGATGGGTAGATTATGCTCCTATAGAAGTATATTTTTCACATTTGGTTCAGATGTCATGGCAACTCTTAGCCAACTTCCTAAAAGCTGTGATTGTAAACTTTGTTTTTAGGCACAAGATAGTCACTAAACGTGTGCTAAGGTTCCGGGCTTGATACAGGGATTGCAAAGATGAACACCATATGGTCCCTCCCTTTGAGAAGTTTAGTGGAGTATACCTGCCCTTGGTGTATGTGAGAATAGCCTGGGCTAGGTCCCCAGAGAAAATCTAGTGAGCCTCTTCAAATGATTATATCTGTTTCATTTAGCTCCAATATAGGAATTCTCCAGAGTAGCACTGTCCAATGGAAATATATGTTGTGAGCCACACATGCAATTTTAAATTTTCTAGTAGCCATGTTAGAAAAGTAAAAACCAAAATTTAAAAACAAATTACTTAGCATGGTAATGCAATTTTAGGCTGCTTTATTAGAAGTCAGATAGACTTGCTGTGCCCTGCACCAGTCTGACAGTATCCAGTGAACACTATGTGCATCTAGAGGAGAGTGGCCTGGGTAGTGAGATCTGCCACCTTGGGGATATGGACTAGCACAGTGGTTAAATGTGGCCCCTGAGCCTTTTGCTTGAGTTTAAATCCTGGTTCCACTGCTTATTTACTGTGTGATCTTGGCAAGTTAGTTATTCAACCTCACTATGTCTCAGAGGGGATATTTCATAGTGTGGTTGTAAAGATTAGATCAATCAGTAGATATAAAGGGCTTAAAATATGGTTGGGTCATAGGAAACACTGTGTTTGCTGCTGCTACTGTTGTGAGGAACAGAGGTATTCATTCTGAAAAGAAAAGACGAGGATGTTGTAAGATGTTCTCTTGCAGGTCTTTCACGTAGAGGAAAAATTTATTCTTAGTGATTCCAAATGGCATATCTAGAACTGACATGCAGGAAGTAGAAGAAATATAACAACTATTTAGAAATGTAATGAAGAGTCTTATTAAGCAGTGAATTCTTGGTCGCTAAAGCCTTTTTTTTTTTTTAGCCCTATAATATGATTTTTCCTTCTTGGTCATTGATATATTTCAACATCTATGATTAATCCAGAAATACTGATGTTTGTTCAGGGGAGGCAGTCCTCTTTTGTGTGAAGTAACATATCTTTTGAAGTATAAAATTTCCATTGATAATTGGTAGGTCTTAGATTCCTTTTTTTTGGCTTCTAAAAATATGGTCGTGGAAGAATTTCCTGTCAAAAGCATTGTTCCTTTTTCTTGGCTTTATGTTTGTCTGTGTCTTCCTCAGCAGCAGTTCTTTCTGTCTATTCACTAAAGGTTAGCTCATGTACAGAAATTGAGGAACAGACCTAATTTATTATCTCCATTGTGAGAGAAATCCAGCATACAAACAGTGTGATTAAGGCATATTGCAAAATGAGTTTAGACTTACCATTTATTTTAGCTTTACAGAAATTTAAATGACCAAACTTAACATCAGTAGAATTTCCATTAATTACTCTTAAGTCCACCATGCCCCTTAGCCCCACTGTATCTCTGGTCTTGGATCCATTTTTGAACTATTATCTCAAGTCTACCTTCTCATTTGACCCCAAACCTAAATCTATACCGTCATGGTGGCTACTTCTCTCAGCTCAGCCGGTTTCTTCCATGCAAGACAGTCTAGTTTTCTTTGCTTTCTTTTATCTCTGGTGTATAACATGTTGTTAATTTCTGTGCTTTCTAGGCTACTCTCATACTCAGAGTTTTTTCCTATCTTTGGCTCTCCTGTCAGCTTCTGGCTCTGTGCTGCTTAATTCCCATCTGTTAGATTCTTCTCCAGCTTTGTTCTTGGATTGTGCCCTCACTGAATTCATGTCTCTCCTTAGTTTTCCAAAAACTCATCCCACTGGAAGTTTTTCTCCCTGTAATTTTGGCATCTTCTCTCACTACAATAATTCTAAGCTAGGAATTCCTAACAAGCATTTTCATTTTAAAGGCATTCTCTCTCTACCCCATTAACTTAAACCATATTATTTAAAGATCTCTCAATGAAATTTCTACATTTTTTATTATGGAAAATTTCAGACATATAGAAAAGTAAAGAGTATAATGAACCCTCATGTACCCATCATCAGTTAGTAACAGTTTGCCATTCTTGTTTCATCAATTTCCCTTCACAGATTCATTGTGATGAGATTTCTCTAGTCCACTTAGCATTCATTTACATTCCACTCTACCCACTAAAATCATAGTCACTGTTTGGGGGAGATTATACTGTGAACACAGGATCTTTATTTTAAAGTCCTTAGTAGATAGTTTCAAGTAAATTATCACTTTCAGATTGATCAATGATTTATTTTGTTTTTGCCTCAGTGGAGGAATAAATATGAGAGTCTGGGATCGGAACGTATACCTCAGTCTGTGTTTGTCACATGCCAATTAGGATCCTGCCCTACTGTGTGACATGCATCAGATCACTTTAGTTCCCTCGTCTATGAAAATGACATTGGATTATATGGTCTCAGTTTACTCTTGGCTCTTAGCATTTAGTAACTGAAGATTAATATACGCTTGAGTTGAATTTTTCTCTTTCTTTCTTTCTTTCTTTCTTTCTTTTTCTTTCTTCTCTCTAAATTATATTTAGCATTTTAGAAAAATTCAACATGAAGATTTAGCTTCAAATGAGGAAACCTAAATGATTCTCACACAGACATGAATTTCTTATTTACCCATTTTGAGAAACCTCTTCCTGTCTAGGATGAGAGAATAAACATGAGTGAATGTGTTAATGTCTGCTTTTCCCTAGAGAGCCTCCTTTTCACCTGACCAGAAGAGGCTGGGGTGAGTTTCCCGTCAGAGTTCAAGTTCACTTTAAGGACAGCCAGAACAAGCGGATAGATATCATACATAATCTGAAGGTATTGTAACAAAACAGTGCTCCCCAGAAGTGAAGTCTGTTTTTGTTAGCTTTTGACTCTTGAACAACATGGAAGTTAGAGGCACCAACTCCTGTACAATGAAGAATCCACATATAACTTTTGACTCCTCAATAACTTAACTACTAATAACCTACTGTACACTGAAAGCCTTACCAGTAACATAAACAGTCAAATAACACATATTTTGTATGTTGTATGTATTATATACTCTATTCTTACAATAAAGCAAGAGAAAAGAACTATTAATAAGAAAATCATAAGGAAGGGAAAATACACTTACTATTCCTTAAGTGGAAGTGGATCGTTATAAAGGTCTTTATCCTTATCATCTTCATGTTGAGTAGGCTGAAGAGGAGGGATTGGTCAGAGTGGAACTGGACAGTTCAAACCTGTGTTGTTCAAGAGTCAACTGTATTTAAAGTGGTAATGTTAGGTTTTCTGAGAGAAGTGACCAAGGATAGTGGAAGGAGGAGATAATATTTTTGAGTGTGTTATGTTTGCTGCTATACAACACTTCTTTGTCCTCTGAAGCTTGGGAAGGGAGTCACTTTACAGTACAATTTGTATTCTTTAAAAAGACGAACTAACTGGTCAGGTAATCAGAAGACATAAATCTTTGATCAGATCTCACTGTTAATATGTTTCTTGAGGCTAAGTTACTGAAATCTTTTTTTTTTAACTTTATTTACTTTTCAATAAAATGGGACAAATAATAATCCTAATCTGTTTATCTCATAAGAATAAAGGGTACATTTATCTTAAAAGGTTAAAGATAGAGGTGAACAAACGTGTTTTGTAAGTTACAAAGTATTATATGAGATTGTAATGCTTTTGTAAGGAATCCTTCACTAATAGTTATATCCATGTGGTTTATTGTGCAGCCATTATAAATTTGTTTTATGAGGTATTTTCTACACATGGGGGGAAACTGCCATTATAGTAAGTGAAAAGCAGTAGGCACACCTCGTTTTATTGTACTTTGTAGACATTGACTTTTTTACAAATTGAAGGTTTGTGGCAACCCTGCATCAAGCAAATCTGTTGGTGCCATTTTCTAACAGCATGTATTCCCTTTGTGTTTATGACGTTTTGGCAATTCTTACAATATTTTCAGACTTTGTCATTATTATATCTGTTTTGGTGATCAGTGATAATTGATGTTACTACTGTTACTCTATTGGGTCACCATGAACCACACTCGTGTGAGATGGTGAACTTAATCAGTCAGTGTTGTGTGTGTTCTGACTGCTCTACCACCAGCCATTCCCGTGTCTTTCCCTTTTCTCAGGTGTCCCTATTCCCTGAGACACACAAATATTGAAATTAGGCCAATTAATAACCCTACAATGGCCTCGAAGTGTTGAAGGTGTTGAAGTGAAACGAAGAGTCACACACCTCTCAATTTAAATCAAAAGGTAGAAATGATTAAGCTTAGTGAGGAAAGCATGTCAAAAGCCAAGATAAACCAAAAGCTAGGCTTCTTGCGCCAAACATTTAACCAAGTTGTAAAACCAAAGAAAAAGTTCTTGAAGGAAATTTAAAGTGCTATTCCAGTGAACAAATGGTAAGAAAGTGAAACAGCCTTCTTGATGATATGGAGAAAGTTTTAGTGATTTGCATAGAAGACCAGCCTTAATGGTCCCTTAAACCTAATCCAGAGCAGGGCCCTAACTCTCTTCAGTTATGTGAAGGCTGAAAGAGGGAGCAAGCTGTAGAAGAAAAGTTTGAAGCTAGTAGGGGTTGGTTCATGAGGTTTAAGAAAAGAAGCCCTCTCCATAACATAAAGGTATAAGATGAAGGAGCAAGTGCTGATACAGAAGCTGCAACAAGTTATCCAGAAGATCTAGCTAAGATAATTAATGAAGAGGCTACACTAAAGAGAAAATTTTCAGTGTGGATGAAACAGCCTTCTGTAGGAAGAAGATGCAATCTATGACTTTAACTGCTAGAGAAAAGTCAATGCCTGGCTTTAAAACTTTAAAGGACAGGCTGACTACCTTGTTAGGGGCTAATGCAGCTGGTGACTCTTAGTTGAAGGCAATGTTAATGTACCCTTTTGAAAATCCTAGGACCCTTAAGAATTATGCTAAATCTGCTTGCCTATAAATGGATCAACAAAGCCTAGATGACAGCACATCTGCTTATATCATGGTTTACTGAAATTTTTTTTTTTTTGAGACAGAGTCTCACTGTGTTGCCCAGGCTAGAGCGCCGTGGCGTCATCCTAGCTCACAGCAACCTCAGACTCCTGGGCTCAAGCCTCAGCCTCCCGAGTAGCTGGGACTACAAGCATGCGCCACCATGCCCGGCTAATTTTTTCTATATATTTTTAGTTGTCCGATGAATTTCTTTCTGTTTTTAGTAGAGACAGGATCTCACTCTTGCTCAGGCTGGTCTCGAACTCCTGAGCTCAAACAATCCGCCCGCCTCGGCCTCCCAGAGTGCTAGGATTACAGGCGTGAGCCACCATGCCTGGCCGGTTTACTGAATTTTTAAGCCCCCTGTTGAGACCTACTGCTCAGGAAAAAATGTTTCTTTCAAAACATTACTGTTCATTGACAATGCACCTAGTCACTGAAGAGCTCTGATGGAAATGTACATTTCAAGTCTTATATTTAAGAAATATATTTCCTAAGACCATGGCTGCCATAGATAGTGATTCCTCTGATGTATCTTGGCAAAGTTAATGGAAAACCTTCTGGAAAGGACTCACCATTCTAGATACCATTAAGAACATTTGTGATTCATGGGAGGAGGTCAGAATATCAACATTAACAGGAGTTTGGAGGAAGTTGATTCCCACCCTCATGGGTGACTTTGAGGAGTTCAAGACGTCAGTGGAGGAATTAGCTGCAGATGTAGTGGAAATAGCAAGAGAACTAGAATTAGAGCCTGAAGATGTGACCAAATTGCTGCAATTTCATGATCAAACTTGAACAGATGAGGAGTTGCTTCTTATGGATGAGCAAACAACGGGGTTTCTTGAGATGGAATCTACTTGTGAAGACGCTGTGAACATTGTCGAAACAACAACAAAGGATTTAGAATATTACATAAACTTAGTTGATAAAGGAGCCACAGGGTTTGAGGGGGTTGACTTCCATTTTGAAAGAAGGCTTCCTGTGGATAAAATGCTATCAAACAGCATTGCATGCTACAGAGGAATCTTTTGTGAAAGGAAGAGTCAATCTACGTGCCGAACTTCATTGTTGTCTTATTTTAACAAAATGCCACAACCACCCTGGCCTTCAGCAACACTACCCTGATGAGTTAGCAGCCATCAATACTGAGTCAAGACCCTCTCTGCCAGTACTATGGTTTGTGCCCCCAAACCTCATGTTGAAATTTGATCCTCAGTGTTGGAGCTGGGGCCTAGTGGGAGGTGTTGAGGTCACGGGGATGGATTTCTAGTAAATAGATTGATGTCCTCACTGTGGTGGGGGGAATGAGTTAGTACTGGCTCTGTTAGTTTCTGTGAGATCTGGTTGTTAAAAAGAGCCTGGCACCTTCCCTTTTTCTCTCTCTTGCTTCCTCTCTCACCAGGTGATCTCTCTCTGCACACACTGACTCCCTCTCACCTTCTTCCCTTTGCCTTCAACCATGAGTGGAAGCAGCCTGAGGCCCAGCCAGGTGCCCAGTCTTTGAGCCAGCAAAATCACCAGCCAAATGAACGCTTTTCTTTATAAAAAGAAAAACTTCACCCAGTCTCAGATATCCCTTTACAAAACAGTGCAAAACAGAGTAAGACAGCCAGCAAAAAGATTATGACTTGCTGAAGTCTCAGGTGATCATTAACATGTTTTAGTGATAAAAGTATTTTTTAATTAAGGTACATACATTGTTTTTTTTCTTTAGACATAATGCTATTGCACACTTGATATAGACTACACAGCATGGTGTAGTGCACTGTACTACACAGTGTAGTGTAAACAACTTTTATATGCACTGGGAAACCAAAACATTTGTGTGCTTACTTTATAGCAATATTCCCTTTATTGCAGTGGTCTGGAATCAAGCCTGCAATATCTCTGAGGTATGCTTGTATAAAACTGTATGCATATGAGATCAACCATGATTTTAAAAAGGTAGAAAAAATACAGAAGAAATATACCAAAATGTTGGAGTAATTGAAATAATGACATTGTGAGCAATTTCCATTGCCCTTTTTTTTGTTTTTAAAAATAATTTTGCAATTTTATATAATAAACATATTTCATTTTTGTAGTGGGAAGACAGACCATTCTTTGATGTTTCCCTAGGCCTTCTTTATAGTAGTTTCATGTATATTTTCTCTACATAAGATAAAATCCTAATGCTGTATGTCTCCCAAAGCACCCTTACTTTGTGGTTTATCACATTTTTCCCATTAATGGCTCCCAAAATTGGACTAAATAAAGATGAGTACATCTGTAGAATTCCTTTTTCATTCTGTTTGTTCTACAAATGCACCTCTTTCAACCTTAAGGCATACTGAAATTTACTTTCCATTGGTGATAGATGGTACTACTCAGCTTGATGTTTTAAGCTGTTATCTGGAGATTACTGTAAGACTAAATTGTCCTGTGACCACAGAGAAGCACTGAAACCAAATAAAGAGCATACAGCCACTTTGTTTATAGTGGCAGAATACTGCCCCGTTACTTAGAGGAAGATCTAAAATAGTTTTGCTTTCTTTTTATTTTATTTTTAGCTCTGCACATACCACCTTATGCTGCACTGAGCCCAGCCCTCATTTCTAAAATAAAGGGAATTATTTACATAGCTCTTACATACTATATTGTACATATTACTTAGAGTTCTTGATGGAAGACTATTTGAGATGGTATTTTTAAATGACAATAAAGCGTTTTTTAACCTGTTTTTTTGAAAACATTGTTTTACTATTTTGTAAAATAGTAAATCACATTAGTATTAGTATTACTATGCTATTATTACTAATTAGTAGTAATACTGTAGTAATAGTAATACTATTAATAGTA